TTTTTTAATAAAATTTAAAAATTCCAAGTTTTATATTGAGCCAAAAAATGTCCGGAGACTTTTGGCGGGGGTCTGTAACTCAAGATTTGTAATGTGTGTTGATCTTTGTCATGGTAAATCCTCAAATTTTTTATGCATCATAGATTACGTAATACAATCGACTTAATTATTTAGGCATAGTATATCAAGGATCTGCGCATAATTTTACGGACGTCTAACGGCAAGTGATCAATTTAATCGTGAAGCGTTCTGACCATCTTCTTACTCACAATCGTCTCTCTCATACAAATTCATCGCTAATACCAATGCATTCCGTAAAGCATTACCTGGAACATTCTTTTCTTCATAATCTATCAAAGTTGGATAAATAACATATTTATGCTTTTATTAAAGATAAGGCATTAATCATCACCTCTATTATGATGCAAATAATCCAAATAGAATTTAATTATATAAGAAAATGGAAGATGGCCTGTTGATGACGTTTTAATTAATATTATAAGCTTAAAGAAAAGATTTCTATTGATGGATCTCATAATGTCCAGTTCAGATTTAAAAAGTCTTGGCATTTATAGACTTTAATATATTTTTTATTTTTTATGGTGACTTATAACTTGAAAATAAAACTAAAAAAAAATAAAAAATAAAAAAATAATTATTTGCCAAAAAACTGAATAAAAATAAAAATCGAAATTAAAAAATTTAAAAAAATAAATAATAAAAATAAAAAATGAAAATATAAAGTAAAAAAAAAAAAAATCGAAAAAAAAAGAAAAAATAACAAATGCCGCGAAATTTAAAGTCGGAAAATAAAGTTAACTGTATTTACGAAATTGTAAAAAAAAAAAAAAAAAAAAATATTGGCATATTGTGATTGGTTAAAGTTGTTTTTAAGTTGTCTGAAGTTGGAATTCAGATAAATGAAATTGATATTCCAATTTCAGTTAACTGAAATTGGAATATCAATTTCAAACACTCTGAAGATCGAACTTCAAACGAAAATCAATTAGGGGGTATCAATTACAGCTCGATCGACTACAAGGATGAGGGATATCCAATAGGATTCGGGTTGCGTAAGCACCCACTCATGGAAATTCCTATTTCAGAAAATTGCAGACCCTTACCAAGAAAACCACATTCACGAACATTTGTACTAGCCCTTTTTAATTATAGATGACACAATTTAAGCTGGTCCCCATCACATCGAAAAGAAAATTAAAAAAAAAAGATAAAATTACGAAAATTCACTTATCCAGTCCTTCTTTTTAACTAATAAAATTAAGAATATTAACAACATTAATAAGGGATTTCAAATCTTAACCTTCTGGTGAACTCTTTATTCTTTTTCTTTAATATAGTACCTATCATTATCGATAATAGGAATATGGACTTATATCCCCATTACAAAATATTTTCTTTTTTATATTTAGATCTATTGCATCTGTTACCTTTTGTTACTTTTCTACGAGATTATTATAACGAATTACTTTTTCGCTTCTTTTTCTAGAAATTTATTTTAATACCTTGAAACGAACTTTTATTACGTGAACAACACATATTGACAAGACTTAAAAAATCAAAAAAAAATGTGCTATATTAGTGATAAACAGATATCAGCTATGGCAAGAAAAAGTTAGTCTCTTGCTGAAAGAAAGATAAAATTGTGACAGTTTATTTAAGGTGAGCGCGGTTCATTATGAGATTTTTTTTAATTATGTATAAGGTACGATGAGAAAGAAGTACTCAAAATCTTGTCTGCTTCTTTTTTTTTTTTTAAAAAAAAGGATAGCCGCAAACTTCAATTGGTCGTGTGAAAAGTTATTTTCTTTTATTTTCTTGCTGTAATGATGAAAGCCAATAGGCCAATTTGGTCGATCAATATTATTTTATTTACTGTATTTTGAAAAATGAAAACGAGAATATACATTTTTTACAATATGGTAGCTAAGCATGCGTTTGAAGGAGAAAACATTTTTCCTTTTTTTTTTTTTTAATACCGTATGAATTATTAAACTCATCGAAATTTTTTTAAAAAAAAATATATCAATATCAGTTAACTGATTTAATAATATAAATTTGAAAATATGAGAGAGTTGATCTAAGAAAATCAAAGTTTGATCCTAATAATTTATTAAGTTCAGACTTTAATTTTCTTAGATCAGCCCCCAATATTGAAAGTTTCAATAAATATGGATTTAGAATAAAAAAATATATTTATTTAATAATATTCACTCATTGATAAACTAAGATCATTTGATCAAGATACAGTTTTTTTTGACAATGAAATAATTTATCCGTAGCATGTGAAAGTCTACAAACAAAGAGATAAAGATTACAAATAATAAATCAAATTTTTTCTTAATAAAGGAATTCATTTGCTATTTGCATAATGAAATATCAAAATGATATACAATAACCGACAAAAGGTACTTTATATACAGGACATATTATATTAATTTTTGTAATACTTGAAATCAATTTCGTAACACTTGAGATTTTGCTATTAATTTAAATATTATTAATTAAGAAATTCAATTTTAATTAATTTAGAAATAAAAAATTTGCTGGGGTATTAAATACCCCAAACCCCCATTCAAACACCCATAATAATGTTTTTTATATATTAAATATTTTAAATTAGAAGGTCCGAAACCTTTTTCTTTAAATAATAATGTCGATCATTTCCTGATCATTTCCAAAATTTTAATTTTAGATTTTTTGACTAATGTTACACAAATAAATGAGAAACTTTGGTTATAAGATAATCGACTTTTAACCAAATAAACTTCGTATTTTATAAGGACATAGAATCAAAAATCTCATGCTTGGTTGGTAGGGTTCCGTAAGGTGATTTTAATAGCTTAGCCCCCATATGCATCACGTGTATTGTATAATCGATATATGCTTCATTGGCATCAATTTTTTTTATAAATATTCCTCATTAGCTCGTTCAAAACAAAAAAACAACGCGTTTAATAATTAATCAAAAGATTAAATATTTTAACTATCCCATCTTGAAAAATAATTTCAATACTTCAAAAGATTTTTATATATTAACAACCTTGATAAATAATTTAAACACGAATTTTAAAATTTTAAACAATCTTGTTAAAATAAAATTTTAACACCTAACAAATGCAACGCGAAAAAATTCCAAAAATTATTATTATCGGTGCAGGCCCAGGAGGACTTGCTCTTTATCATGCATTGATAAAGAACAAAGATAAAAAAGAATTCGATGTAAAAATCTTCGAAAGGGATTCTAGTCCAAGGGGTAGGTATAAGAGTCCTGTTCTTTTTAAAAAACCTAACGTAAACTGACTCGAATAAATTCGTAAATTATATAGAACGATGGCAAGGATATCATATAGTGTTGAACTATCCCGGAATTCGATCGCTTTTGAATTGTGTGCCATCTTCGATCAATTCAAACCTTCAAAAAGCGATTCCAAATCCACTTCCCGGCGTAGAATTTCATGGAGCAACACTTTTCGATAATAAAGGAAAACTTATATTACATCCACCATCTATTCAATTTAAAGACTTTAACGAACTTGTAAAAGTTGATGATGAATATTCCGTGTTGATTGCTTATCGAGATAGACTTAGAGATGTATTATTAGAAAGTGTACCGGTTACTTGGGGAAAAAAATGCATTGGATACGAAGAAACTAAAGATGGTGTTTGGGCAATGTTTGATGATGGTTCACAAGAATTTTGTGATATTTTAGTTGGCGCAGATGGAATTTATTCTCCAAGTAAGCATAAACCTTCCTCAAAATTCCCTTGATTAAATATATATTTTTTTTCTCACGTATCTTTTAGTTCGAAAACAGAGACTACCCGAATTACAAATTTTCAATTTTGGATTAACAAATGTCGTAGCAAATATTGCTGCACCTAAACATCTTATGGACAGATTCATAAAGTCATAAGGAAATAGTTTATTCCAAAAGAATCTCGGATTACATGGTGATTCGTCATCGCTTCTTTTTCGTCTAATTCCAATCGAGCAAGAGCCAGGTTACGAGAATAAAAACAATTCTAATGAGCTTCATTACAGATTAACCTTGAATTATTCGTATCCCACAAAATTAGACGACCGTGAATCCGTTCAAATCAAAGTTGATGATAATGATTCTGCATCTGACATTGAACATGTCAAGCAGATGGTTCGAAATTTTGGATCAAAATGCGAATTTAATGATTTTATATTAGAATTTTGGGACTTGGTTCCTAAATCAGCTCCAAATGATCCAGAAAAGTTTAAATTTAAAACTTATAATCCGACACGACGAAGACAATATCAAGATATTAATCCGTCATCTATTCAACCTTGGACAAGTAGTCGAGTAACATTATTAGGAGATGCTGTTCATGCTATGAATCCTGTACATGGATTGGGAATAAATAATGCTTTCCAAGATGCCGATCTACTCTCTCAAGCACTAATTAATTATTCATCAGAAGATCCTATTTCCTGCATTCAAGGATATGAAAAAGAAATGCGAAAAAGATCAACCGTCGACGTGTTAAAATCTAGATCTATGGCATTGCGATTGTCCACTCCTGTTGGTCGTATTAAAGCCATTATTAGAAATTATGGTTTTAAGGTTATAAATTTCTTTATCAACTTTTAAGTATTTTTTAGAAAGTAATTGAATTATTTTATTAGTATATGTTTATTTTCATTTTTATGTTATCATTAGTCAATATTATCGAAATTTATTATAGCTTTTCATATAGGTTTTTTTTACGCACATAATTAGTGTTTAAGAATTATTGGCCGGTTCCAACCTCTAAATTAGTATCATTTGAACATATTGAGCATATTTTGTTTTTACTTGTTGTATTTGAACTCATTTATATATCATATTTAATATATATTAAGTAATAAATAGTGTGTCAAAAAAAAGAAATAAATTCATATATTGAAGTTAGTTTTTATTTATAATATGTACATGAAATATTGAACAAATTTATTTAAAAAAAAAAAATCAAATCAAAAAGAAAAAAAAAGAATTTAAAATTTAAATTAGCAACAAAATAAAATAAATATTTTTTTTTTTTTTTATAAAAAATGGTTATCGATCGCATCTTAATTTTTTTTTTTAAAAAAAAATAAAACTAGACTAGACAAGGTCGTTATTAATTAATAATTATTCTTACAACTAAATTAAATTATTTGAGGAAATAATATATATATATTTTTATTTATATGTTCAATTAGCACCCACCAAAAAAAAACGATCGAAACGATCGAAATCTTTTCGAAATTTCATTAAAAGTGACGCAAAAATTTTTAAAAAAATCACTTTAGTTTAAACTTTTCGTTTTATAAATGATTGTAATCAAATAATTTATTTTTAACAATGCAATAATAATTCCTTTTCAACTTAGAGATTTATTGAAAAATCAAGTTTTCTTAGGGTCATTTGCTTTTTACGAGACAAGTTGAATCTTGTTGAATCTTATGATCCGTGCCTATGTGCAAATAATAATATTTTGTTGTTATAAGAGAAAGGAAATTTTTAGCAAACTTCAATTTAATAATTCATAATAGTTCGAGAGTTAATTCGAGTCGGGGCAGTTATCATTTTTATGACACGAATCCTAATTTAATAAAAACCATCGGGTCAGTGTCATGGTTTTACTCCCGGTGATTAAGTATTATTAAATTATAATATAGTACTTTGATCCACAGCTAAAGCTTGGTTATTATAAAGATAAAATTGGAAAAAAAAAGCTTTATTCTTTATACGTTATGCTAAAGAAACAGTTCTTTCTTCTTTGTGGAAATTATGTTCTGTATTTATTGATACATTATTTTATTTAATTTTAAATTGAATAGTTACATGAAACCAAATATGGAGAATTACAAGTAAAAAAAAGTGCCGATTATTAAACATTAATAAATACATTTTTTTTTAATAAAGCAACAGGTTTTCTGGCGGAACCAATCTAATGTCAATCAAAAGTTGTGGTCTTAAAGCTAATACAATTCGCGCCTGTATGAATTTTGATATCCTTGTGGAATGCACAACAAAAAATATAATGAAATAAAATAAAATATATTTTATAAACTTTTAAATTTTTTTCAAAATTACTATGACACTTGTTTATTATCTATATTAAATAAAATGATTATTTTTAATAGTTACCCTTGAAAATTCGGGTTAAACGATAATCGGGTTGAACCTTACCTTTACAGCTGTTTTAATATTTTTCGGGACCACCCGATCCGATATGCGAGATCTTCCCCAGTAACACCAACAAATTTTCACCCACGTGACCAACATTTTGCAGATCATTTCTAAAAATGGTAATCAAAATTTTTAACGAATAAAACTTACCATAGACGTTACCTATTCTCGAAACTGAGCGTCTAATACCTAATTTTTTACGCTCTGCAAGTTTCGTAGAATTCAAAAAGGGGTTTAGAATGCCGATTTTTGTTAAATCAATTATTTAGAAACGGTCATATAAAAGTCAAAATCTGTAAATGTAAACCTACTTTTATTGCCTAAGTAAACTCGTAGAGCGGATAAAGATACGTATAATATATAAGTTTAAAAGATTTATGATATTTGCACCAGGTTTTATCTTTATTTTTAGGAAAGATCGGCAATTATTTAAAATCCTATGATCAAGAAAATCACATTAACATTAATTATATAAGTCACATGTTATTGTGACGTAAAAACTGTTTTTACATCATAAATAATTTTTATTTCTTAAAAAATGAATCAAAGAAGACCGTATATTTAATACTGCTTGCGAACTTTTAAATAATCCACTGTCTACAACCTAAAACATCCAAACACTGACATTGAAAAGGAAATTTTATTCCTGTGCAACAAATTCAAGATTACAATAAGAAACCGTTACAAATTATAAATCTTGAATCACAAGATTTACCAATTAATATACCTTTCAATAATAGTAGTAAAGAAAAGGCTACGATGTTTAATAATTGTCACTTTCAAAATTTCATTTTTTTTATTTATAATCAATCATAAATGCTTGTAATAATGTAATATTTCTATATCAAGCTTATTAAATAAAATATGATATTTTCACGGAAAATTCAACTCCGATAAAATATCAATATGAAACATCACGGGCGAACAATTAGTAAGCGGGTAATATGTTTATTTAAAGATCGTAATTAAAACTTTTTTTCGAACGGCAGCTGTGGAACTGTATTAATCAGCTAAGAACATGCGTAATCCTATTTTTTGGTACTGTAACAATTACTTGAAAGAAAACAATGCTATATAGAATTATCCTAATTCGCTAAATTTATTGAATCTATTGAGATACAATTAGAGCTAGAATATAAAATTAATTCGTAATTGATAATGATGATCGGTCAGATTATATAATTGAAGCATATCATTACTAAAAATAAATTATTACCAAAAATTGAGATTATAAAAAAGGAATCATTCATCCGAAAATAGTTAGCGTTAGACTTTTGAAAATCAAAATTCTCGGTTTGTATGGGCAATAATAATTATGCACAATCCCAGACCTTTATATTCAGACTTTTTTTTTATAAAAGGAATCTATGAATTTTCACTTTTTTTTTCTTCGTGTAAAGTTTTATAAAAAAAAAAAATGCCGCTTCCGACTCGTGAATTAGGTAAAACTGGAATCAAAATTCCAACAATTGGCTTTGGATGTATGGTATGTAATAAATGACACCGCCGCAAAATTTTTTTCGATATTGAATAAATGCAACTCCACTTTTTTTTTAAAAAAAAAGGGAATGAGTGATTTTTATGGACAATCTGACGAGAAAGAAAACATTAGCGTATTGAACAAATCGATCGAATTAGGAAGTTACTTTTGGGATACTTCGGTAAAGTAAATTAGATTTTATTCGATCATTATTTTCGAACTACTGAAACAAAACTAATAATAAATTCCTTTATGGTTTGAATTGTGACCTTTAGGATATGTATGGAATTGGAGCTAATGAGATCCTTTTGTCAAAAGTTCTTAAAGAACGTCGTAATGAAGTATTTCTTTGTACAAAATTCGGAGTCGTTCGAGGTCCAAATGGAGAATTTTTAGATATTAAAGGTGATCGTGATTATGTTCGTCAAGCTTGTGAAAAATCGTTGAAAAGGCTTGGGGTAGATTATGTTGACCTCTATTATCAACATCGTGTGGATCCAAAAACGTAAGCATAAATCAAATTGTCCATTTTGGTCACGAGATAATGAGGAAAGAATTAATAAAAACTATACATTTTTTATAAAAGTCCTATTGAGGAAACCGTTGCCGCTTTGGCGGAACTTGTGAAAGAAGGCAAAGTGAAACATATCGGACTCTCGGAATGTTCCGAGAACACACTTCGACGCGCTTGTAAAGTTCATCCAATTGCAGCTTTACAGGTATGATATTGTAAATTTTTTGAATCGTTGAAATATTATTTTAAATATCAAACCATACCCTTTTTATAAGAACGAGTATAGTCCGTGGACGCTCGATATTGAAAAAAATGGAATTATGGAAGCATGTCGTGAATTAGGTGTTACCATAGTCGCTTATAGCCCACTTGGTCAAGGATTCTTAACCGGAAAATATAAATCAATTGATGATTTTGATCAAAATGATGTTAGAAGGAAGAGTCCACGTTTCATGGGTGATAACTTTAACAAGAATTTAAAAATTGTTAAGAAAATTCAAGAATTCGCAAGCAAGAAGGGTGTTACTGCAAGCCAACTTTGTCTGGCTTGGGTCTTGGCTCAAGTATTTACACATTTTATCATTTTTCAAATATATTCTGAATGTAAATTTTAGTTGTCTTTAACAATATTATTTTCTTTAGGGAGAAAATATTGTTGTTATTCCTGGTACACGGAAAATCAAATATTTAGAAGAAAATGTTGGCGCAGCTAATGTTCAACTTTCGTCTGAGGAATTATCTGAAGTTCGTCAAATTATTGATTCTATTGAGATCATTGGGCACAGATATTAAGTTGAACATGTAGCTGTAAGTATTTATTATATTTATATACAGTAAATATAATTTTTTTATATAATGAAATTAACCTTGAATTTTGTTTTGTTTCTCAGTGTTTAGAAAATGAATAAATTCATAAATTTTTAAAGGTTAATAAAAAAATATAATTATTTTAAACCCTGACTGTCAAAAGCTATATAATTGAAATTTTTTCGGTGGACGAATTTTCGGATTTGTATATCAAAATTTGAACAAATATATGCACGTGGAAATCAAAAACCCAACCACTTGCATATTTACAGAAATTGAGATATTTGCACATGAAAAATTTTACAAGAGAAGTAAGTTTGTTTTTTTTCGAAAAGTTATTATATAAGCTCAAACTTCTGAATAATTCAATTAAAATTTTGAAAATGTACTATAAAAAAAATTAAAGAATCAATTCTAGTTTATAACACACTGGACGTTGGGTATTAATTAATCAAGATTATAATAAAATTAATAGTACAGATTTTTAATCTATTATGATGAAAATAAATTTTTATTATTGAATAAGAATATTATCTATTACACCAAGAAAATTTGTTATCGAGTCCAGACCTTCACGAAACTACTTTAGTTTCGAAGATTTCACCACAGGTATAGTTTAGATTTCATAAAATTTTT